GAGAATAAGGGAGAAGAAAGATAAGTTTTTTGAGAAATTAAATTATAACATTTTTAAATATCTCGCTTGGTTAAAAAATCTATCATTCCCTTCCTCTTTCATTCATTTTCTTTAAGCCAAAAATATTATAAAATTTCATTTAGTATTGTTGTTGCTTTTGATTTTTAATTTTAGTTTTTATAAATTTTATAACTCTAAAGAATTTCCTTATTAATTTCTATATGTTTTTGTAATATTTTATCATAATTATTAAAAAATTAAAATAAAAATAATTTTAATATTATTAAATAAATATATAATTTTTGTTATTAATATTAGAATTCATCATAAACAAATTTTTAGTTTTTAATTTTGTAATTTTAATTTTTAATAATTACAAAATTTATAAAAACTAAAATTAAAAACTAAACCACACCCATGCTAACTTCGCTTAAAAGAATGTTTATATTTTTTATTTGATTAAACAACTTTAAAATAAAAAATAAAAAATATTTTATTTTTTTAATAATTTCATTAATTAATTAAATAATTAAAATAAAATATTTATTTATTCTCTTTTTGAAAAGAATTTAAAACTAAAAATAAGAAATAAAAAATCCATGCAATCCCTCTCAATTCCCCAAAGATGGGTGATTGAAAAGAAAAATGCTCCTTCCTTTAAAATTCATACAGAGTAACCACTTTTTCAATCCCATTTCCCTTCTCTTGATTCTCTTCAAAATAAACATATTGTAAACTACTATTAAGATGAGATTAGTAAAAATATAAAAAGATATGCAGTTCAAATTGTAAAATAATATTTTTAAAAATTAAAATAATAAAATGAGAATCTTTTATAAATTTTTTTAAAAATAATTAAATGTATAAATATATAAAATACTATTATATAAAAATGCTTTCCAGAATCATGGAGATTAGATTGTAGTGAATTATTTTTTGAATTTTACCAATCATGGTTGATGTGTCTGTAGTGATTGATGGAGGCAGACAAGGATAAAAAAATGATGAGAAATGTTTTTTGTATAATTTTTTTTCTCTTTTTTTTTGTACAACTTAACATGTCGTTAAAATAATTAATTTTATTAATTTATATAAGATTCATAATATTAAATATATCTATTTATTTAATGACACGTGAAAGTTATATTAAAAGATACAAAAAAATTATTTTTATAACACCATCCATAAATTATATGCAAATAAAGAGGGCACATCAGTTGCGAGGTGAGAACCATGTTCCATGTCTTAATCATATGAAAAGAAAATTCAGAGGCATAAATCGAAAGCACGAACGCTTTTTGAGGATCCTTTTGCAAATGTGGTAACCTTATGCTGGGCTAATGGTAGGGGGGAGGGGGGTGGGGTTGGGATAAAATTCGGAGTGCAGTCCAAAGATTTTCAATTGTATACAACCTACTTATATATATATATATATATATATTTTTTATGTTGGTTGCACAATAAGTGACAACTATTTTCTATCTCTTATCTCAACCTACCCGCATGTTATGTTATTTGAATTCAATACTTCTTATTTTTAACTAAAAGAAATGATCACTGAGCTATTTAGGTCGTTGACAAAAAATTAATATCTTTCAAAGTTTATGTAAGTTTATACCTACTAATTTAAATTTTTTAATTTGAGTTTAGATTAAGAATTTAAACCCTTGCAATGCTAAATAGTTAACTTCTGACTGAAAATAAAAAAATAAAAAATAAAAAGAAAAAGAAAAAGAAAAACCTAAAGAATGTTAGTCTTAATCTATGAGTTGGGAGCAGCCTATTAATGTTCCCTTTTAGTGGTAATGTTCCCTTTCTTCCAATGGTTGTTTTCAAGCAATGCCATGGAGCATTGTAAACGCGTAAAGGAGGCATGATCAGGCACCTCAGCCGGCTCAGCTATATTTGTAACTAATTTAATTAATTCGATCTTAGCAATTGTTTCATGTTTCATGGTCCATATACAGTTATGTTGAAAATATAGATTTAAATTTCTTTATATTGTTCATAAAAAAAAAAAGAAGAATCCTTTTATTTTTCTATGCAAGGTAATTTACATATTTTATTTAATTTGTCTAACCAAAGATTCCAAACCCATATTATAAGAAAAGTATGAGATGACTCATAATCATAAACATTTTTTTTGTAAGAGATTAGTGTAATACATGTTGTCTTTTATTTATTTATTTAGAGGAGTTGCCTTAAAAATTCATTTTATAATTAATATTTTTAAAAATTGATTATTAAATTAAATATTCTTTTAATATACATGTTAATTTATAAATTGATATAATATTTATAATTTTTTAATAAAAAACTTTATTTCTAAATATATACTTAATTGTGTTAAATTTTATATAATTAACAAATTTAATTAGACATATTAGATTGATATGAAGTCGATATGCATGTTTCAAATGATAAAACTTTTAATTTAATAATTATTTTTTTTAAAAATATTAATTAAAATATTTTAAAGATGTCATGCACAAAACACTTTTCTACTTTTTGGCAAACTCTATTTATATTTATCCATTCCCATCTCCAGAAAGGGCCGTCCAACAAATTTATATTAGAAAATCAACGAGGTGGACAGTATCAAATTCAAGAATTTCAAACAACTTTAAAAATGTTAAGTAAAGCAATAACATGATTACATATGGAGAATCAAACAAAAATCAAAGCAGACAATAGCTAATTAAGAACTGGAGAAACATTGTGTTTCATGCATAATAAAAAAAAAAATAAATTTGGCATTACTTTCTTGTTTGTTTGATTCGTACTATTCGTTTGTTGGCTTTATCTTTGTTGGACCTGGCCATGAAAATTGACCCTTAAAGCTGTCGAGGGAGCCATTTTCGCCTTCATATTAATTGGTTTCTCTATCTTTTCTCTTTTCTTTATTCATTAATTTTATGCTCCATAAATCCTACTTAATTAAGGAAACAGTGACAATTGGCATCGTCTGGAGCATGTTGTTCCCTAATTTAGACGCTCCTCCCTTCTTTTTTCCTTTTTTTT